TTATAAACCCCCATCTCCTGCTGAGGAGCTATTGATAGCCAATGATTTCTGGAAGAAGGAGACTCAGTTTTCTTTAAGGGACAGCTTCTGACAGGTTGATCACTCTCCAGTGGGTGGCTCCTGACTCATGAGTACCTAGGCAGTACAAATTAGCCTTGGTGTATGTGTGGTTTTTTTTTTTTTTTTTTTTTTTTAAAAAGGAAGAAAGCACAAACTTTGGGGATAGAGATGAGGGGTAAGATATGGATCTTAAAGGAATCATGGGAGGAGTGGGAGGAATAATTATGATAAAATTATATTATATGAATGTATGAAATTCTTAAGAATTAACAATTTATTATATTAAAACTAGCAGACTGAAGGTTGTGATAAGGAAAGTAAGAATACTGAAGCCTAAGATTACTGCTGAGATTAGACACTAGCAGTGCAGGTAGGTATATTCACAGATTCAGCCAAAAAAAGTTTTTGTTTTGTTGTATCTTTTAATCCTCTCCTGGGGAGGCAAACAGAAGGGTTTTTTGCATAATGCCAGACATATTTTACTGTTATAGTCATCAGTACATCATTTTTCTTTCATAGACTGGGGTGTCTTTTAAAAATCTGTTGAGTCATTTGTAAGAAAGCAATCAGTAGAACAGAAGTACTCTTTATGTTATTATTATGAAGAGACATAAATGGATTAAAGCCAAGAGACATGTTACTAATTAAATATTGCACTGGGAGACATTTAAAATGTAAACTGTAAGTTTTCACAATAAATTGACCTCCCTTGGCTTAGCCTATTTCAGCAAAAGATTTATTATTAAGCAAATTGTAGATAATAGGATTATGATTGTGGTTTTAAGAATCTTACTATTGCTGGGCACGGTGTACATCTTTAATCCCAACACTCAGGAGAAAAAGGCAGGCAGATCCCTCTGAGTTCAATGCCAGTCTGGTCTACATAATGATTTCTAATCCAGGTAAGGCTACAAAGTGAGATCTTGTCTCAATTTTTTTTTTTAAAGTCTTGATAATTTAGACCTGCATGCTAACAAGTACGCATGAGAAAGCCATAAGGAAATGTAACACGAATAATAAAAGACCCAGAGACAGATATTGTGGTTCAAGCTTCAAGCTGAAGATCAGAGAAGCAAAGTAGCCAACCATCAGTTTTCACCTCTACCTCAGACTGAGAGGCCCCTCCTTGGTGTGTCTGGAAAATAAATCTCCACCTGATGCCCTTTGCTTTTTCCTTTTATACTTCCTATTATTGTGATCAAAGACGTGGGATCCAAAGTGCTGAGATTTCCTGTGTGTAAGCTGTTTCTCTTTAGGACTGGATCAATTTCATGTAGCTCTGGGTGGCCTTGAGCTAACAGAGATCGATCTGCTTGTCTCTTGAGTCTTGGGATTAAAGGTGTGTATTACAATTTCCCCGGCTCTATGACTTGTGACTAGCTTTGTTTTCTGTACTCTCGGGTGAACTTTAATAAATCATAAATAATATATCACAAGGAAATAAAAACTTAGAAGTGTTTGAAAGGAAGTATCCTGTCCCAAAAAGCCATAGGATTTTATAAGATTTATTTTATTTTTAAGTACATGGTGGGGGGGGTATGTCACCTGAGTCCAGGTGCCAGGGAGGTCAGAGGCATCAAGCTGTCCGGAGCCAAAGTTAGGCAGTTGTGAGCTTTCTGATATGAGTGCTTAGAACCAAATTCAGGTCCTCTCTAAGAATAGTATGTGCTCTTAACTACTAAGCCATTTCTCCGATTCTGAAACCCTAGATTACTAAATAAAAAATACCAGTGTTGAGGTGGACTTCTTTCCAAAGAGTTGTTGGTCAGGGAGGCTCATGAGGCCAAAATAATATAAGCTATTGCCACTGCTCTTGGATGCCCAGCAAATCTTGATGGTAAGACCCTATTTAGGCTGAATATGCCACATATCTCTGCCTCAGGACATAGAAAAATCAAGCTAGAACTTGGCTAGAAGCATTCTACCTGCTGGCTAAATGTCATGGTATCAGAAGCATCATGCAGGCTGCTATGGGAGGGTGGTCATCGACGGTTCTGCTCAGCTGTGGACCCTGTGTGCAATAATACTGCCTGGCATGCAAAGTAAGTTGACTGGTACAGTAATGGCAAGTCTGCTATGGGAGCAGCCAACTGCCCTAGTTACCTTTCTATTGCTGTGAAGAGACACTATAACCAAGGCAACTTATAAAAGAAAGCACTTAATAGGGGGCTTGCTTATAGTTTCAGAGGGTGACTCTGTGGCCATTATGGCAGGAAACATAGCAGCAGGCAGGCATAGCACCGGAGCAGTAGCTAAGAACTTGCATGTTGAGACAACAGCCACAAAGCAAGAAGAGAATTAGAGATGATAGATAGATAGATAGATAGATAGATAGATAGATAGATAGATAGATAGCTTACGAACTAGAGTAGTAGAGTAGCTTTGCTATTAATCCTTCCCAAACAATTCTACCAACTGGGGGCAAGCATTCAAACATGAACTATGGGGACCATTCTCATTAAAGCCACCACATATCTGCTTTCTGATTACATTTGATGCCTGTTCCACAGGAGGAAATTTACATCTGCTACCATAAACCTGAACAAAACCTCCTGGCTGGGAAGGTGATAGGTCCTTCTGTGATTATTTTGCCAAATGGACAGGATATGCCCATCAAGTTGCCTTCAAACTAACCATATTTATGCCCACATATCAATGTTGCTGTCAACTTTGGTCAGATATGTTTCTTTATGTAGTGGTCAGCGGTTACTCTGAAGACCTACAAGTCAAGATACCAGGAATAAACAACTGTTGAATGGCCAGCCATAAACGAGGCATCTATATCTATCACCCTCTCCTCAACTCAGGGTCTAGTGGAGCAAGGAGCAGACAGAATGGAAGATCTGGAGGAGTGTGGGGATCAGTAGGAGCACTGACCTCCAAGCATTTCATGGCTGATGCACTCTTAAACTCACAGCAAGTGATTAACTGCACTAAAACTGCACAAAATTGCACCCAACAATACCTTGTAGTAGAAGTGGGTGGGACTCATGGGACTCACTCTTCCATAGGGACTTACACACAGTTAGTGATTGATGAGAATGGAAATTTTCTTCAGTGGTGTAGCTACTGGTAAAGTACCCATGTCCCTATAAATAACACTAATGAAACTCATTGGGACACACGGGAGGGGGGAAGAGAAGGGGGGACTATTTAGGAAGAGAAAAGGGATTAGCAGGAGGGGGAGTGAGACTTGAGAGGGTAATGGAGGGGTGGGTATGATCAAAATACAGTGAGGAGGACATAAAATAAAATATTATAGTAAGAACTACTATTATGTATACTACATATATGCTATGAAAGTATTCAAAAAAAATCTTACTCTCTTAACCCCGACCTGCATATTAAAGTATGTGTGCCAAAAAATATTTCCTTAAAATGATCAATTGAAAGAAAATAGATATATTTAAATTTAAAAGAGTAAGTCATATTGATCATCATGAAAGCTATATTAAGTATATAGCAATCCTTTTGTACTTTCATAACATCATTTCTCTGCATATATGTGTGTGCCCATATGGAAACAGAAGCATATATGTATCCATGTTCAAGTAAATATTGATGGCTGAAATATAACTATCCTTCAACACCTGCAGGGGTTAGTTCCAGGAACTTCTATAGATTCCCAAATCCAAGGTTACTCAAGTCCTTTATATTTTCATGTAACATATGCACATCCTCCTGTATTCTTAATTATCTCTAGGTCACCTATAATACCATTTAATTATAGCCACCTGTCAGTCAGCAATAGAGATAACCAAGCAATGCATTTTTAGGTTTTCTCATTGTCAAGAACTCACAGAGAAGACCTACACAAACTAATATGGCTGCACCACCACCAAGCAATATGATATTGGGACCATAGTGGTTAGTACACTCTGCCCTTAACAAAATAATCATGGGTTATTTTATATCTATTATTTTATAACTATAGTATAGCTATAGTTGTTATAAGGGAATATTACCCAAAACAAGTGTTGACATGTTCAATGCAGAATTTTTCAAATATTTCTGCCTAGTGGAACAAGAGTGGATCCTCAGATCTGACTGTAATACAGACTGATACTCTACCCTCACCAAACTATTGCTGCTGCAGGTGACATTAGTCTCACAATGTCTTATAGTGTTTAGAACTCTTAGAAATGATCTTGGGTGAATCTTTCATTTTACATTTAACACATTTCATTCCCTTTGCCACACTTCACACTGCCAAGTAGTTCTTGAAAGTATTCTTATCTCTATTTCCCAATCCAGCTTTGTCAAATAAATATACCCAACACTGTTGTTATTTCACAGATATCTATATGAAGCAGGGGACCACTCAGTAAATATAATTAATCACAGACATTTTTAAATGCAGTCACATTTTAGGGTATTCTTAAAGAGGAGGTAAAATTCTACATCCCTCTGACATGACAGCATCACATCTTAGTAGCTATCTCATTGCTGTGACCAAATATGTGACAAAAACAAATTCAAAAGGAGGGAAATAATTATTTTGGCTCATGTTTCAACAACTTGAGTCCAATTTCTTCACTCTGTACAAAAGTGTTACTTTACTGTAAATCACTCAAGGGATGAATCCATTCATCCCTGAAAACATCATCACAAACAGTCTCCTTGGTATTTCTCAACCCAAACAAGTTGGCCATCAAAAGCAGCTATCAAGAGTCTTGAGGCATTCTCTCTTCAAGTAAGGAATGCCATGGCAAGGTGACTCCCAGAACAATGCCCACTTTGTTGGGAAACACAAGTTCAGGATTTGCTCTGCAACAGAACCCATGGTTTAGCTCAACCTCCGACATCAGATCAGATGACAGCCAGGCATGGATTCCAGGGTGGCATGGATGTCTGCTCACAGAGGAAAGAATGGAAATGAAACAGTTATCCCCTGATAAGCTTTCAGAGACTGCTAATGTCTGGGTCTCTTCCTGTTTCAGATGGGTGAATCAAATGAAGACATAGACCAGATGTTCAGCACTTTGCTGGGGGAGATGGATCTCTTGACCCAGGTAAAAACCCTCTTCTTAACCTGCAAACTGTTGGGGGCAGGGTGGGGATTACAGAATTTGATACAAAAATGTTGCCTTTAAAAAATGTCAGAGAGTGACATCACATGCCCCTGATGCATCTATGATAGTGTTGGGAGAAAACAGTTAAGCATTTTATTAGTTCTGCACTCTCAGGCAACATGGTTTAATATAACAGTCACATATGTAACACGGTTAAATAAGGATCAGGATAAACAAATAGGCCGAATAGATGTTTATTCAGGGAGAAATAACTTACAACCTAGACAAATGAACACCAGGAAATTCAACCCGATCCTCTCCTGTCCGAGTCATGCCAGAAAAGGGGCGCCTTTCCCTCACCCCCCTCCGATCTCCTTCCACAGGTCACTCCGCCCATGGCTCCACCCCCAATGGGCGTGGTCAGTGCCACAGAACTATCTCACTACACATATGCACAGTTATCTCAACGTCTGTGCTTATCATGTCCATGGGAGGAATTCCCATGTTTCCTTCAACAACCACCTCTGAGCGACATCCCTAGTATTTACCTTCATGGAGACTAATTGAGAAAATGGCACTAAGTAAGATGGTTTTGTGTCATCTTTTAAAAAGTCCTAAATTACAAAGGACCATTATGACACTCTGAATGGGCTGTAAGAACTCGGTCCCCCTCTGAGAAGCATGAAAGCCACTCCGCCACAGGCTACATAGCTGAGAACAGTCAACCAAGACTAGATTGACCCCATTGCGTATGATTAGGAAGGGATGGATAAACCTTGGTATCCCCAGTTTCTTAAAATAAGCAAAAGCTAAAGTGCACTGAAATGCAATAATGTGATTGTAATACTGAAAAAAAAATTTTTATTCAAGCTCACAGAAAAGTTGAAACAATAGTATGAAGAATCCCAATTTACTTTTCTCCCAAAATTCTGAATGAGTAACATGTTGTTCTATTCAGTGTTCCCCCACCCCTCTCCCACATAACCTGACAATGGTAGCCTTCCAAACAAGTACCCAAAAATGTAGTAAATGGTGTTGGGATAACACATCTCTTAAGAGTTGTAGCTAAATATATGAAAGGAAAGAAAACAGAGTAAAAAAGTGCTTATAATCTTAAAATACAAGTCACAGCTAGCTAAGCAAGACAGAACACACAGAAGATACAAAACATAAAATGAAATATTTAAAATGTAAGACATTTTAATTTCTGCATGGCAAGAAGTAAATAATGAGATTATAATATCAAAAATCAACAAAAGGAAACCCTTTGAGGGTAAGGAGCTTGATTATCAGTCACTTATTGGAACTGTCAGAACATTCACTCCCTTGGAGTAAACAAATAATTAGAAGTTTTTACAGAAGAATTTCTTCTCCAGATAACTGGACATTCCTTTCTTTGATGTCACTATGTAAGCTCTTATAAAATTTTGTATAGTATGTGCCTTCATTCACACAACAAAATCTCTCTGTTGCTTACAAAAATTAAGTTTTTTCTGGGTAGTAGTGATGCACTTCTTTAATAACAGCACCTGGCAGGCAGAGGCAGGCAGAATCTCTGAATTCAACTACATAGTGAGTTCCAGGATAGCCAGAACAGCCAGAACTACACAGAGAAACCCCCTGGCTCAACCCTCTTCCCCCAAAAAAGAAAGGAAAAATAAAAATTAACTATTCACTCTCATTATTCTCAATTAACACAGCCTATTTCAAGACATTTCTTATGAGATTTTTTTAAGCTGAAAATTTCTATCATAGAAAAAATGCAAAACATTTAAGTAAGAACATGATGTTTAAGAGCATACTGGGAGAGAAAAATGTGTAAATAACGAGTGTTTGGGGCTTCGAAATGTTGGTTTTGTGAATCACTCACAGAAACTGCGGGATCTGTTTTCACAGAGTTTAGGAGTGGACACTCTTCCTCCTCCAGAACCCAAGCCACCCCGAGAAGAGTTTAACTACAGTGTGGGGTTTAAGGATTTAAATGGTAAGCACAGAAACTGGTTTTCTTAAGCAATTTGAAGCCATAAGGATGACTGAACTATATATACTCTGACAGTGAAACTAAAGACATGTGGACGTTGTGGTAGATAATGTGTAAGCCCTGGACTGTGGGCAGTATTTTACTATGTCTCCATTGAATTAAGAAAGTCCATTAGATATTTTTGCCTGTAATGAAAGGGGGAAGACCATCTTCCATTTATGAAAAGTCTCAGGACAACCTCACCTTGTGAAAAAAGAAAGCAAAGTTTCTTCTTATTACTAAGGAGTCAAAAAAATGTTAGTAAGAAAACAAGTACAGTTAAGTGTTTAGTAATAATGGATAATACATGAATGGGAACTGAATCAAAATATGTTTTATTCTAAATATGGCATTTTAATTTACATATGTATTTATATATAATTCACTGTTTGAAACTTTCAGTCTCCCTGAGATCAAAGTTTACTTTATGGCAGGATCCTCTTTTCCATCTTTTGCAGAGATAACTGTTAGCTCTGATGTTGGTGAAGTGATAACAAATCTTGAAATAATCACTTCCAACTATGTAAGAATTCACTGGAACTCTTGCAGTCAGATATGCTACCATTGTGCCACAAGGGCGACCTCACTGGAACTCTTGAAAACAATAGCAAAAGACTACTAGTGGCTACCCAAGTATAAAACCTAAAGTAGCAAAGAAGTCCTGTATGGAACCCAAAGTCCCGGTTTCTATTTTCATGTGTCACTTAGCTTCATTGTTCTATCCTTTGCATAGTTTCCATGGGTAAGCCTGTAGGCACCAGTGATTGTTTCTTGGTCAATTATAATGCCTCTTCCTAGTGTTTTCTTTTAGCTTCACTCTTCTACTCACCACAAAAACTTCTTATGCCAGCCACGTACACCAAAATAACAGTGTTAGGAAAGTTTCCGAAAAGTAGTCCACTTTTGGAAATTATGGCCACCATCCTTAACAGCTTCTTGCACACATGGGTTCCAGTGGGTGTTTTGTTTGGGTGGTTTTCTAGTTTCATTTGTTTTATTGACAGGGATCACTATGTGTCCCAGTTGGCCTGGAATTTTCTATGTAAACCATGGTGGCCTTGAACTCTCAGAGGTTGGCCTGCTTCTGTCCCTGGAAGTGCTACAAATGACATTTTATCTTAAGTTCCACTAAAATTTAAGTTTAGTTAGTGTTTCTGCTGCTGTTAGTCAACTCTGTGTTTTCTAAACACCTAGTGCCTACTATTAAAAAAAAAAAAGATGACAGAGTCAAACAAACCCATAAATCTCCAAGCTCAGTCAAGTTATGGTGTAGCAACCAGGAGACAAAGATGCTTGCCTGTGGACTGACTTAGGAGAACACAAAGCCACCAAATTCCTGATGTTTAAATTTGTTGAGAATACATTTTTATTGCCCTCAGTCAAAATGTTATTAAAATGATTTAAAATTATTTTGCTGGCTTGGCTGTAGTAGTGCACACCTTTAGTCCCAGCACTCAGGAGGCATGGGCAGGTGGAGCTCTGTGAGTTTGAGGCCAGCCTGGGCTACAGAGAGCTAGTACCAGGACACATTCCAAAACTACACAGAGAAACCGTCTCAAATATAAATATAAATAAATATATATATATATATATATATATATATATATATATTCAGAGAATGACAGATTTAAGAATGGAATCCATTTCTCATTCTCTATTACTCACTATTTAATGCTGTATTGATTAATATATTTGTATATTTTGATTCTTTGGCATATTAATAAGATATTAATGAACAACAGTGCTACATGGCAGTAATGATGTCTGGCAATGACCCAGCTCATGGTGCTCTCTGCTTTTACACTAAATAGGCACATTTTCTCGCACTGCCATTTCCTCATTTTGGACCATCCTGCACAGGGTTCACCCCTTCTTCACTGAGTCATCATGCGGTGACCGCCTGATTCCCAGTGCACTCTGCTGACGCTGACCCTGACACCACTCCCTCTGTTGCAGGCAATCTAGTCAACTTGCTGAGTGTGCACATGGCCTCTACAGTAATCTCACATTTAGACAATGTCCTAATGAACTCTCTTCCTTCCCATCCCCCAGCCCAGCCCATTGTCTTCATAAACCTTTACTACTGGGTCTCATTGGTTTTATTCTTTCACACCTTGGCTGCATTAATCCTGCACTTAAGATGGTAAGGTTCTCTGAGGTCAGATGGACAGGACAGATGTTTATTTCTACTCCCATAAAGGTAGATGAAGCCCAGTTGAGCACAAATGCTCTCCTTCCAAATTCTTAGGGAGAACCCCCCTTTTCCATCCATTTCCACTTTCCTCCTCATCTAAAAAGCTCAAGCTGGGCTCTTGCACCAAAATTCTCAGGGAGTTCCTTGTATAGGGAATCTGCTCGTGTGCTCCAACCTGACTTTGTGGCTGGAGTGTGAGACACACCCCTGAAGAGACCACAAGTTTTCCCTTCCTTCCCCTGTTAGAAACTTACATTAAACACTGAATGTAATTATTTCAGGAGTCCCAATACATGTGTATGTGCTACTAGATAAGAATATTTTCCATCTTTCTTATTATATCATAACAAGTTAAACAATGATTCCCACCGATGTACATATTGCTCTTAAAAAACAAAAAAAAAAAAAAAAAAAAAAAACAAACTTAAAAAAAAAACACTGCTTTCTGTTTTAACCAGAAGCAAATAGTTAAGTTTTTTTATTTTTTGTTTTTTAACCCCATTAATGCTATTTTTCCTCTTAGAGTCCTTAAATGCCCTGGAAGACCAAGATTTGGATGCTCTCATGGCAGACTTGGTAGCAGATATAAGTGAGGCCAGCACGAACAATCCAGGCTCAGAAAGAGTCCTCTCAGAATCAGCACCACTCAGCACTTCAGGCAGCATCAGATGGCCAGGGTGCAGCCTCACTTGGTTGTGGAGCAAGTGCTGCTGCAGCTGGTGTTAGTCACCTTGAAGAAGCTTTACCACCTCCACCAGCAGAGCCCTTACTTAGACCTTCCACCCCACCTCCACCCACCTCCTGAACCTCTCTCTAAAGTAAGTGTTGTAATAAGTCTTTCTCTGTACCACCAGCTCCCCAAATAACTACATGGAGACTTTTTAATTATGAAAGCTTGGCTAGCTTAAGCTTTGTTCTCAACTAGCTCCTGTAACAAATTAACCCATTTATATTCATCTACATTCTTCCACAAAGCATTACCACATCTCCATATTGCCCATCCTGCTCACTCTGCATCTGGCTGGCAACTCTGCCTTTTTTTTTTTTTTTTTTTTTTTTTTTTCTAAGTTCTCTCTCTGCCTAGAAGTCCTGCCTATACCTACTGCCAAGCTCTGGCAGTCAGCTCTTGGTTTTGTTTTATTTTTGTTATTACACCAATCACAGCAATACAACTTCACAGTATACAAATATCCCCACAACAAAGTATATAGGATCCTTTACAATGGAAATTAAACTTCAACATCAGTTTTGGTGAGGACATTTTAAACTATAGTAGGTGTATATAAAAAACACATTAGGGACCAAATATAACATTTGTCATTATTTGACTAAAAGCAATATTTTCATGTGTGTATTCCTTAATATCTACTCAAGCTTTGGGAGACATGTTTTATTAAATTTTCATGGATTAAGAAACTGATTTAGTATTGTTTCATTGTCCCCTGTTCCTATCCCAGAATATAGAAAAGAACAAGTTTTCATTTGAGTTAAATTGAATTGTTGCTTACGGCAGCCCCTACTCAATAGGGACAAACACTATGTGTCCTTGGAATGTCTTCACTGGGGAGGGTGTTGTAAAGACAGGTAAAGAATGCTTGATATTTATAAATTTCTGAATTTTGTAAAATAACTGCAAAGTTTTACATTGTCCTTATTTGGCATGTTAATTACAACATGTTCCTCAAAAGAAAAGTAAAGAGAACACTTTGGAAGAACTTTTCTTAAGTGGGTCCCATAAAAATATTTCCAAGTGAGGGGCCTCACCCTACCTGGGGAGCAGAAAGGTGATGGGATGGGGATTGGGGAGAGGGACAGAGGAGGAAGGGAGGGGTGAGGGAACTGGGATTGACATGTAAAACAAGCTTGTTTCAAATTTAAATAAAAATTATCATACTACCATTAAAAAAAGTATTTCCAAATGAGAACACAGCTCTGGGTTCTGTGGCTTTCATACTGTTTATGCTGAATGATGGTGGTCAGTTTGATTCACATGACCCTCATGGCTCAAGAATTCCTACAAATTTAAACATAAATCAAATGTTAAACCACACTCCCCTATCACTCTAACATAGGATCCCCTCAAGGCTTCAGGGGCATCATGATTCCCTTAAAAGTAAATACAAAGTCAAATACATGGGTGGAGTCTAAGTTCCTTACTTTCACATGTCCTTAAAGCATCTTGGCACTCAAAAATATTTCAAGAACCATTGGTCTGAGAAGAGATTATTCTACTTTCAAACAATAGGGATGTAATCAAAACACTTCATTTCCTAATCATAATAAATAAATAAATAAAAAATAAAAGAGAGTCTTAACAGTTCTATTCTCTGGATTATAAGTTATCAAAGGAAGTTGACTTTGTAAGACTATTTCATTCTTTGTTATTGTTCATGTGCTCATCAGTGGCTTATTTTGTTTGTTTCGCCTTTGCTTTGGAGGTTTTGTGATTTATAAGGTTAAGTTTACGCTTTAGTACTCAGAAGTTGGATGTTTAGAATCTTTTTCAAGTTTCTAATAAAAACTATGAATGTCCCCCTAAATAGATACCATGATCCAAGAGGATATGTATGACTTTATGAAGTGCTCAACTCCCTTAGCCCCAATGCACTGCTGGATTCTTTAGGTTGGTCCCTGTATTAGTTCTTTTTCTGCTGCTGTGATAAGAATACAACTACAAGAAGTAACTTAAGAAAGGCAACCTTTATCTTAGCTTAAGGAATAGTTCATCCCATCCTGGGGAGACCCAGAGCAGCAGGCTGACAGGGCAGGACACTAACTGATCACATTTCTATTCACAGGATAGAAGCAAAAGCAAACTAGAAGTGGGATGAGGCTGTAGGAACGCTCAGAGCCCACTCACACTGATGATTTCCCTCCAGCAAGTTCCACATCCTAATAGTTCCCATCTCCAAACAGTTCTCCAAACAGTACCACTAGCTAGGACCCAGAGTTCAAGTACATGAGTTCATGGGGATATTGATCATTCAAACTAACACTGCCCCATTTTGTGAGCTGAGCACAGAATGGCATACTCTAATAAGTATATGATGCAGTTGTTGAGGTCATCATTCATCTTCTAGGATGAAATTTCCAAGGCTATAAACAATAGTTTCTTTCTGTACCTTTGAGTTGAATACTTAATCATAGGCATTTATTCAAATTCTGGAAAAGGAAGAAGTAAAACTCTAAATTATTTTATGTTTGTGGGTGTTTTGCTTGCATAACTACATGTATATAGATACCACATGCATGCCAGGTGCCCAGGAAGGCCAGAAGAGGGCATCAGATCCCTTGAACTAGAGTTGTAGACAGCTGTGAGCTGCCATGTGAGTGCTGGGAATTGAACCAGATCCTCTGGAAGAGCAGCCAGTACTCTTAACCTCTAGAGCCATCTCTTCAGCCTTGTTACTATAAATTAGACACTAGCACTAACAAGAATTTCCCACTGATATTATTTATTAGGTTTTATTGACTGTCTTGCTCCTTTACAGGAAGAAGAAGAAGCCCAAGCAAAGGCTAATAAAATTAAATTAGCACTGGAAAAACTGAAGGAAGCCAAGGTCAGAAGGTAAGCCATCAGTCCCTTTTTATACAGGGGGCATGAAATATACGATATCCTATTATGGTTACTGATAAACAGTAAAATAAAAGTTTCACCTGTCTCTGAGGAGCTCAGTAGTAGGTCACTGCTTACTATACTCAAGACCCTGGCTTTAACAGTATCACCTAAAGAAAACTTTCCAATAAGTATCATCTTTAAAAAATTCTCTGGACACAGTGAGATGGCATAATTTTTTCTCTGTGTAACATCATTTAGCTAATTTGTGATTTCTAGGTAGGGGGAACCTCCATCCAACCGTCTCTTGTAAAGGCTTTCTGTTGGACAGTATAATGGCAAAGAGGGGTCCCCATGGTGAAATGGGGCAAGGATGCCTAACAGGGAAAGGCATCTCATAGCTTGTACATGACTTTGTGTTGGTTTGTGCATGTATTTTTCCCATGAACTAGGATAATGGGAGTGCAAATTCCTTTAACAAGAAAGGAAAAGGCCTTTGGTTTTGCTGCCACCTAGGCAAGGGCTTTCTCAGTTTCATTTTGAGAATTTAAATTCTGTCAATCCTAGACTCTTCCTGAGGATGCTCTCTGGGGCTTTCTATAGCTGTCTGCTTATAGCAGGTGGCACACCCTCTGGGCATGCTTTAACTGGCTCAGACCTCAGCATCCCTTGGCCTAACATTTCCACAATTTCTTTTGTGAATTTATGTCCCTTGAGCAGCCTCTAGACCTGATGTCTTCCTGGCTGTCTCCCCAGGGAATCAAATATTGGCTTTGTTAATCTAGTCTCCTAATCTGGAAATTTTACATGATCTGCTCCTAACCTTACTTTACCAGTTAGTGTATAATTTTTTTAACATTTTTGTAGAACATAGGATTTGGTTGTGTTAGTTTTAGGAGCATATATGTTGTGTTAGAAAAACCTGTATCTAACCAAATTAGGAGACTACATCCACTATTAAAATGTTAGTAGTAGTTTAGTTAATGGAAAGAGGACTCAGTCTACATTTTATTTCAATTCCTGAATCATCTGTCATCTTTCACGTATTTAGGTGAATTATCCATGCTTTATATTTCATGCTTACTATAATTCTTGATTGAAGGGTTATATACATAGTGATTGATTTATTAAATGTCCCTTGATCCAGACTTTCAAGGCTCATATATGAAGATACTTTCCAGATAGGACTGGTCTATTCCTTGCAAATACCAATCACCTTGGTTTTTTGTTTGTTGTTTTGTTTTTGTTGTTTTTGTTTGTTTGTTTGTTTGTTGTTCCCTTATTTTCTGCAGGTGTCAGCTTTTTCTTACTGTCACAAACACCTAAGATGACCAGTTGAGTTAGTTCCTTCTCTTGTTGCTCGCTGAATACCCAGCAATAGCAGTCTTAGAAAGGAAGGATTGGTTTCAGCTCTGATTGAGGGTGCAGTCCATCATGCTGGAAGACACAGAAGCAAGACAATCAGGTGCTGAGTATCAGCAGTCCAAGGTCACTGGTCACTTTGTGTCTGCTGTCAGGAAGCAGAGAGATGAATGCTCAAACACATGAGCCTGTAAGGGACATTTACGATCTTAGCAACATCTACCACACTCATTCAGGTGATGAAGGATGAAGGATGCTATATTATTGTCTGAGTTAGCCTTCCACTCGAACTGCAGTTCGCCTTCCCTGTTCTTGTCTCCATAGTTCAAGAGCCTACCGTGGCTGCCCCTCTTGTGCAGTGAAGGCAAACCCCCTCACAGTGACACTCCTTTCTGTGTCTGTGTAATCTCGGTGCCATTATCTCCCTTAGCCTCAGTGTTCTCTCTCTCTCTCTCTCTCTCTCTATCTATCTATCTATCTATCTACCTATCTCTCTATCTATCTCTATCTCTCTCTCTCTTTCTGCATTTACTGCTATGACTACCATGTCCTTATGATAGTTCCTCCTACATTTCTCAAGTGCTTACCATAGTGCCCTTTGTACCTACCCATCCTCCACTCTTACCCAAGATTCTTTAAGTTTTTCTCCTCCTTAAGTATTCAGTCACCTTCTGAGTGAGATTGTCCTCATCATTGTACACACTACTCCCTAAAATTCATTTACCTTTTCCACTTTTCTACTTAGTGTTTTTATCACAACCCAATGGTCAAACCACTAATTTATTGCCTATATTCCCTGTGAACCTCC